TGTTTTTGTAGTTTATTAGTTATTATAATTATTAAATATTATTTATTGATTTGATTTAATTTTGTAATGGTGCAATTAGTTGGTCAAACATGTTTACAGTTTAAACAAGGATTTATTTATTTTTAATTTCAGGCATTGGTCCACTTAAAATCTTTTCTGTTGCAGACTTAAAACACGATTTAATAAAGTTATTCTTTGTAAGTTTGACCATATGTCTTTCTTTTTTTGTTAATAAGGATAAAATGTTATGCAGAGATGGATTGTCGCGGTAGGGAATAGTTTTCTTCTTGCTAGGCGTAACAGAAAATAATTGAGAAGCACTGATTTAACCTGATGGGGACATTTAGCTTAACTAACCTTAGCCACAGTTTTAGCACCAAACAACATTTTGAAATTCTTTGACATTTTGAAAACGGCTGTTGACTTCTGGATGTAAAAGCTTAGGTCCTCTTTTGGGTGACAGATCATTAAAAAACAATTTATTATAATGTCTTCGTCTCATTAGAATTCTTTCGCTCCTTTTAAACGCCAAAGCGCCATTTTCTGGAAATGAGCACTTAGCATTTCCTCGGTCCTGGCCTGAGGGAGTAGCTGATCCTGAACTAAGTGATGTGGAAATGGAGGCCCATTCTTTGTTTAACCTCTTAACACTCGAGTTTATTGTCCATGAGCAATTTAAAAATGTCGTTTGTGCATCTTCTTTCCACCTGATTGGTCCTTTGACCGAACCAGGACTCGGGAAAATGCTCCCAAGTGTGTTTTTTGAACATGCAAACGTTGCCTTTCGCAGAGTAAATCCTCTATTTTAGATGGACTGTGCATGGAAGTGGAGGGTCACAAATCTCTGCAGGCTTTAGATGCCTCCCTGCTCCAACTCCCGACTCTGGTTAAATGGATCTTTAAAAGATTGCTAAGTCTGTAAAAACCTGCTGATGGAGTATTGAGGTGATGAAGCAGGGAACCCTCTGAGATCTGCAGAGCCGTTTTGTTGTCTTTCTTTTTTTTCCCCCTCTCTTCCTGTTTTAGTGATCCCTCTTCTTTATTGTTACCTTTTCTCTATTCTCTCATACTTTTTTTAATTACATTTTTTGTTCCTTTTTTTCTCTTTTCCTGTCCCCCCGGTCGGGTTTGGCATTAACCATCTTACTTCTGTAACAAAAATAAATCTTGAATAAATAATAAAGCAGTATTGGATGATGAGGGGAGGTTTCTCACCCTGACAGGCCTCCCAAAAATGAAACTCAGAGATTACAATTCTTTTGCCATAATGCTAAACACGACGAGGGGGTAGGAGAGAAAAAAATAAAGCTCCTCCGCCCACCAGGGGGCGCTGAACCACCCCCACCCCACCCCCATGGACAATACACGCACCTCAGTTTAGTTTTGTTTTCAACTTAATGTTTCCTTTTTGCAACTCAGTGCAATATATACAGTGGGGGAAATAAGTATTTGAACCCTTGCTGATTTTGCAGGTTTGCCCACTTACAAAGAATGC